TCAAGTAGAGCTTATTTTGACTATCATATTGAAAGAAAACATCGATCACATACATTCATTATCATTTGTCTTTAATAAATTATATAGATTTAAATCGTGTTTAGAACTTAATTCTAATGTTTCATTTTTAAGTGTTCATTATCTTTATTTCTCGGAACTTTATGATAGTGATTTGATTTAATTTGAATGATTAGCAAGTCGTATGCCATATCTCAACTCAATCGAATGCCATATTTACAATGTTTGAATACTAATCAAATTGACTTTCTCTATAAACATCAATTAAACGACTTCTTTGGAAAATATACCATTAAAAATTAATTCGCCGAAATTTTCTATGACTCATTTCGTAATAAAAGTAACTCATTTGACAGAAAAGAAATTGAAGAAGCATTATCTATAAGTTCAATATTTTCCTTGATGATATCTGATACATTATTGTTATTCATTGATTTAATGGAAATATAAAGAAAGAAAAATTCTCGAATCTTAACTCTTTTTGTAATCATTGTTTCGTTCTTTCTTTTCTATTTTCGTCTAAATAAAAGACTAGCAATTAATAACTATGAAAAAGAGACGTAGCCATATTTCACGATTCTAAGAGTTTCATTAGAATCTTTCAAAATTTTTCTATAAATCCTATTATACATTACATCATAAAAAGAAAGAAATCAGACCAAGAGCAAACATCATATTAGTAGCTTTCCTCTCACTCACAGCCAAAATAATTAACTTTTTCAAATAATTTTTCGATATAATCGAAGTCTATTTTATTTTTGTTCTAGATTTTAAAATTTCTGTGTTAAAAGATAAATATCTGACAATTTTGAACCGAATAAAAACTGTTGGCGATGTCTATCCAGATGATGATTCAACACCACTTTTGTTTTGAGGATGAACAATATTATTGAGCTGAACATCGAAATAACGTATTAATTCGCTCAATTTTCTATAATTAAAGATAAATTAATTTTACATTTTGTTGATAATAAACAATTCACTTACTGCTTTTGTTCTTCAAATGCTTGTAATATGCTTTGTTCATCAAATACTTGTGGTATGTTTTGCTCAGTATATATCTCTGATTGATTATCCGATCCAGAGTCACTTTCGAGTTGTTTTCGTAAATGATTATTGGGTTTTATAGGTGTCACAGGCCAATAAAGTTCACCAATATGTATAAAACCATCTTGAAGAATAGTTTGTGTGTATTTCGATGATTCGAAATCGATCTGAACTCGTTCTGTTGGCACTTCTGATCCATTTGTCTGAAACCATCGTTTGACATATTTAATACCAGGGTAAGATTTTGATAATTTTTCTCCAAATTCATTCATAAGAATTTCTGTAGAAACATCATGGACAAGAATTTTATTAGTAACTACATTTTCAAGATGATTTTGAACATTCGTACTTGAATTTAAAGCCTTTACTGGACAACGAAGATTACAGATGTCAATAAAACCATTTTCAAGAAAAGTTTCGGTATGTTTTGGTGATGTAAAATCAATTTGAACAAGTTCCTTTGGAGTGTTATATTCATCATTCATGTACAATCGTTGAACATGTTTAATACCATGGTAATTTGTTAACAGTTCTTTTCTGAGTTGATTCTCAGATATCGTAGAAAGAACGCCACGAGCAAGGAGTCGATCAGTAACTTGTATGGTTGTCATTGTAATAGTGTTGTATTCAAATGTTGACTATTTATATATAGTTTTACTCTTGGTTTTTACCTCTTGATGATGTAAGAAAATATACACATGACATCAGACTATTTTATTTTCTCGGTAATCACCGTAGATTACACCATATATGCGACAGATGCAATAGAAAAATATTGCATCGTTTTGTGAAAGAAACTCAGTATGATGAGTAATTCTGCCTTTTATTCGTCTGAATATTTGACATGTGTTTCTATTGCGTCAAGAGTCTATGATAAAATGTAAATTTTTCGTTCTTTCACAATAAATATTATATACGATTTAAAAATAACTGTAAAAGACGAAAAGATACAGAGAAAGCGTTTTCATTATCCGTTAGGACTCATTGTGTTTTGACAGAAAAAGACATTCCAGTTGTGGCTTTACGAATTCCTCAGAAGAAAGTTACTATTACTTATGACGAACAGTCACCATCATGCAAAAATATCGACTCAGTTGATTAGATATCACTATCCCACATATATGGGGTTGTACTAGTGAAGGTAATTGTTGGTGTAGAACGAATAGAATACTCACTCACATCCTCTTTCGTAATATTTGTTTTTCGATATATTCAAAGCACAAGAAAAGAACAATTCAAATCACCTGATTTATGCATTTTAGCAATAACAAGAAAGCGAAATTTATATTGTTAAGAAACATCTTGCGATACAATGGTGTCGGTAGGACAAAGATCAGAAAGATGGTTGCAAGCAATAAAAGCACTAGATATGGTTATCATGAACAACAGGATAACAATAAGATCTTTCTGCTGCTTTATGTACATGGAAGACACCAAAAGTATCATAGCCTATACAAAATTAATGCGAAACAGAAGTAACTATGAGAGAACTATTGGTACGTTCACAAAAGATTCATGCTGTTAACCAGTCGCATAAAAATACACGAGGAAAACAAATCTATACGTTATCTTATTCTAATCCAAAACAGTTTATTATTATCAATTTTTTAACTTTATATGAGTCAAGCAAATGAAAGACAGCATAGTATTCAATAAACTATTGTTCTCTATAAAATACGAAAATTTTCAACTGATATGACATGCTTAGAACTGTGTGTTTTCACTATAACTACTCAATTTAAATTTTGTAACCAAACATATTTTCTAAAGATATATAAAGAGCAATTTACTCAATAAATGGATGTGTAGAGAAGAATAATGTTTAAGAAAATAATTGGACACATTGAGTATTAAAATGATGGAGCTGGTTTTTTCCAACTATAAAATGCACAAATGATACTTTTACTACCGTTTTTGGATGAATCACTGCAATTATTTGTCACAAAAAGAAAAGCAAAAAAAGGTAAAAGTATGACTTTCCGTCACATGTTTTAACTACATCGTCTCGATAGTGTATACACATTCTTCTATTCTCTTTCTTCACATTATAAATTATGATGCAAAGCATGGTAAAATTACTTAGATAAAATTTCTTTTTTTTTTATAGATAGACATGAATCCAATTAAACGATGGTTAAATGCTTATGACTCATCTAACGAGAAAAACAAGAAGTTAAAGAGCGATAAGTAAGAAACAATAGTATACATTTAATATTATTCAATTTTTCCTTGTTCGCTTTATAGAACAACAATTAATTGTTTAGAAAATTTACCAAATGAAATTTTCTATGAAGTTTTTGATTATCTTGATGGATGTAAATTATTCAATGCATTTTCAAATCTTAATACACGTTTTCAATATCTACTTGCTTGTACATCTATTCGACTAAAGACTCGTCTTACCAATGTGTCAGAAACAGCCCTGCAGTATCAATCCGATCATATAATCATACCAAACAAACATCGAATCGTTTCCCTCAATCTAAGTGAAGACTACGGGTATTATTATCCAAATTTAAATCTATTTGATATTGACTCCTCATTCATTCGTCTTGAATCACTTCAATTATACAATATTCAATCGAATCAACTTATACCTATTCTTATAAGTTTAATATCGTTAAATCGTTTATCATCATTGACTATCGATTGTAATGATGATGATCCATATGATATTGATAATATATATCGACTGATTTTTAATTTGCCTATATTAAGATATAATAAATTATCATATTATTCATTTGATTCGCCTATTCCTCTATCGATTGCTACAAACACACAATATAGTCATATTGAATATTTAGTTGTCGATCATCGATGTACTTTAAATGAATTGATTGTTATACTTTTATATACATCTCAACTATGTCGTTTAACTTGTCGAAAAATCAATGAGTCAAATGAAGAAGATAACACAAAACATGCACTTAGTGCGATATCCAATTTGACTTATGTTTCTATTGGTAAATGCCATGCAAAATTTGACGAGTTGATACTATTCATTACAAAAATATCACCACAATTAGAAGTATTACATATCACTAGTAGCCAAGATGTGACTTATTTGGATGCTGATCGATGGCAACGATTAATTTCACGATATTTACTTAATTTACGAATATTGGAGTTTAAATACGAAGAATTTATTGATGACGATTTAGAAGTAACTAGTTATCATGAACGAATTGATCGATTTTATTCATCATTTTGGACAAAACGAAAGTGGTATTTTAGGCTTCACATTGATACGGGCTATTTGTTAGATGATTTAATTGTTTATTCTGTATCTTCAGACAGGTAAATTAAGAAGAAATATTTTTATAGATAATTTTTTTGTTTCTTATAGGAAAAATTCTATTAGTGATATGGATCAAACTATTTCTCTTAATGAACACGACGAATCTATGTTGTCTTTAGAAGTTCTTTCTGAAACTTATCAATTAACTATTGTCAATCTTCCTCATATTGATAATGATCTATCGTTGGCTGTCACTATAGGTCCTATTTTACTTCTAGTACCGATTACATGTTTAAATATCACTTGTTGGGAGATTTTTATTGGTTCATTGATTGAACTTGTGGCATGTTTACCTAATCTGAATTCATTAGTAGTTTTTCATCTTTAGCAATGATCAAACCAAGATGTTTATCTGTGGAAGAAACAATAACTCTTCGTTGGTTATCAGATTACAATACAATTACAAAAGTAAAACTTCACCGAATGAATGATCTGGCAGAAATTCAATTTCTTTTTGACTTATGTTCTTCCATGGAATATTTAGAAGTCGATTGTACGGATAAAATCTGTCCCAAACAACTTCTACGATTTATTTTAATGAAAAATATCAAATCTATTCCTAAACTTTCTTCATTCTGTTTTGGAATTTCAGTTACAAAAGAAAATATAATCGATCAATTGACAACAATGATTAATCTTGAACAATTATGTCATAATTATACGATGAAACAAATACAAAACAAAATTTATTTACGATGGACTCGATGATGCTTTCAGTTTCTTTTTCGTTATTAAATTCTTAATAAAATTACATAAGAGCGGGTGTGATGGAACCACGTTTTTCATGCGAGGGTGTGAGTTAAAAATAACACACCCACCCACCCATAAGACATTGATGTTCATCATTCACAAAAAATGTCCATTGGTGTTTCAAAAAGTGTCTTTTATTTTTAACAAAAAATAGTTCGTATGCCACGGGCAGGAATCGAACCTGCGTTATCCGGACCACAACCGGATGTACTACCATTATACTACCGCGGCGAAAATAAATTATAGTAATATTTTTTTCGTTCTGTTTAAAGTTTCATATGATTTTGTTAGTAAACAATCACTATAATAAAGCAAAAATATACGATGATTGATGTGACTATGACTAAAGAGAAGATAAACCTACATCCACACCCACATCCTTTTTAAAGTATTTTACATTGATGATGAATAGAATTCATTATAAGTATGAATTATCTAATTTATTATTTAACTTGTAGACATACTCCTTACATATTCCTTTTTTTTATCTCTATAATTTTTTGCTAATCTATACAACACACTGTTCCATGGCTTTTATTTTTACTCAAAGTTAAAGTAAATCTAGGAACGGAGCTCTATTGACCTTTATATGTATATAAATGATTTAAAATATGTCTATATCCATTAAAAATTATAGAATGTAAAATATAAACATCAATCAAAGAATAAAAACTAGATTGACGCCACATATCTACCTACAAATTATTCAAAATATAATTGTTGTCTATGAGATTGATTATATGTAGTTTATAACAGATTTCAGCCAAAGCGAAATTCACTCTCCATGAAACAGTGACATATCGACTCTATTAAAACATGTGCTTTTCGTTTGTTTAATCATTTTCATCGATAAAGAATAGAATCTATAATTTCCAACAAAAGTGAGTGAGTGTAAGTCAGAGATGTCCATCGCGGTTGAGTATCTGCCACTGCCGCGCCGCGCCGCGTCGATATTCTAAAAAAGCTAACGCGCCGCGACTACAATAAAAAGAAGTGTATCGCGCCGCTGCCGCACCGCGTCCTTATAAAAAGTTGCCGCTGCCGCGACAGTATGATAAAAGTTGCTGCCGCGCCGCTACCGCGCCGCCGCAGGTTTGGTAAACAATCTGCCGCGAACGCCACGGCGGTAGCGGCGCGGCAGCGGTAACGGCAGCGGCAGCGCCGCCACGGACATCTCTGGTGTAAGTTGGAAGAAAATGCGCTCGCATCCATCCGGAGATGTTTTGTTAAGGAAGATAAAATATTAAAATATTTCATCGAATATTCTTTTATCTTCAGACATACTAATTTTTCATTATTGAAGAATTCCTTTTTTTCTCTTCAACATTTAACTATAAAAGACTAAAATGTGTTAGATTCAAGGTGAATTTTACTTTCATGTTTACAATAACATTTCTTTTGTATTCTTTACCTTCAATCTTAGTTATTCGTTCTGTACAATCTTTCGCAATCAGATGTATACTTGAAGAAAAATGAAAGAGAAAGAAACTTTATAATGTCATGATTTTATTAAACGAATCATTGGCAAAAAAAAGAACATTCAATCGCATACCAACACATACAATCTTATCTGAAAGTGAAAAATCATATTTATATTATCAAAACTTATTTTTCAAGTAAACAATATCATTTTAGTAAGTTTTATTTGAATATTATTTTTAAACGATAATAACAGTATTTGAAATTTTCGTTTGTTTTTAAGTTGATTAACTAAATAATAGATTATGAAAATTTTTTCAAACGAGTGATCTAAAACTTAAGTTGTATTGCAATAATTTTATTTGAAAGAGTTTTGAGTAGAATTGTTGCTATTTGTAGAGTAGGTGAACTTCAAATTAGATAAACTTTTTATTTATCAGAGTCAGTGTAATTTGTAGAGGACACGTGTAGACAAAAACTAAGGAAGCACTCAAAATCTAACAGAAAATTCAATGTATCACATAGACTGAAATTGTATGAAATGATTTTGTGTTGTTAAAAACGTGATAATGTTATAGCATGAGCAAGCATTGTGAAGAACAGAGAAAAAAAAACAGGGAGGTATATTAATAAAAGTGAGAAGAATGTTTTAACAAGGTTTATTACAATTCATATGATCAGTAATAAATATGCCTAATAAAAAAAATTCTTATCAAATTCAGTATTTTCAATGACATAATAAAGATTCTCGTCAGATTTAACAAATAATTTCTTATTGCAATTTAGCGAGCTCTATAAATTACAATAAAGCAAAATAAAATTAAATAGATTTATACAGAGTAAGTTCAAGCGAAAATAAAAAAAAATAGAACTTGATTTTAAGTTTTTATATCTTGTGTGTACCTGTGCACGTAAATACTTTCTTCATCCTATACTCACATCCACCCGTCAAATTTTATGATATATAGAATATTTAGTATTATATAATTATTAATAATTATATTAGTTTATTTTAAATCATTATTCTATGTTAAAGTAAAACTCAACGTATTTAATTGTAATTTTTCTTCATTCCTCTATCTCATCTAGATAGTATACATTATGTACCATGTGTGTTCGTTTAATGTTTCTTTCTAATTGCTTATATTTCTCACTTACAAGAAAAAACAAAGTGTGCAATCAGTCATATCGCTATATACACATTATGCATATGCATGCACAAAGTATTCAAAATATGAGTAGTGAGAGGTGCATGAAGAAGAAGGTCGAATAATAAACGATCTTTATTACAATAAATTCTTTTATATAGTAATGAAGATTTTAACGATAATCGACAAATATCTTCGAGCAAGTATGAAAAATTCCCTGATACTCTATTCGTATTCATAAACATATATCAACATCAAAAATTTTGAATTATGGATAATTTTGAAAGTTTTTTTAAGATCTGAAATTTAGACTTCCCTTTTCCAGTCAAATCGTTGTCTTCATATAATAATGCAAGCTGACTTCCGACCTTGACTCAGATGCATTGCTAGCCAACAAGTAACGTTCATAAATAGTCAATTCACTTGACCTTATGATCGGAGTTTTAAAAAAAGAAATGGGTAATATGCTTATAGTTTTCGCCATTTGAGAGGGAAGATATAGAACACTTATATCTTTGTCGAAAATAGTGCTTCTCAAAGTACTTTTTCATTATATTGCAATATAATGAAACAACTGGCTACATGAATAAGTGTTTAACTAATGCAGCTCTTTTTTAGATAAAATATTACTTACTATCTCAAGAGTTCATGGGTTTTGACAGAAGATTCAACAATTGAAATGTTGTATTATTGATTTTGTCGAAACCAATAAGAATGGATCAGTTATTCTACTCTACAAAGTCGATGAACGTCTTTTTTTAATTTTAAATATTTCACAAAGTTCTACTACCAAATTAAAACATGAATTAAAAATATTACGAGAACAGACAGTACAACAAGAACAATAGTCAAAAGAAAGAATTTCGTTAACTTAATAATTATATTTCAATAGATATTACACTTTCCATTCCTCAATCAAGTCCTCCTTTGAAGAAAAATAGGTGAATAAAAAAGACTTTTTTGAATTTTATCCAATACGTCAAAAATCGATATTGGCTTACCTTATGAACTCTCACAATATCTTTCATATCATATATATACTTTGTAGATCACTTGACTCTCTGACGCTCGACTTATTACTACCATTCAACTAGACAATGATGAACACGAAAGCAACTCGACAGATTAGGTTTGCATTGATTTTGATAATTGTTATTACCCTGTTATTGTCTTATAATGGTTATAATTGCTTTGGTAATACAACACATATATTGTCTTATCAGTTTAATAATGATGATACAAGTGACTCGGGTTCCAGTGGTATTCCATTACCAGCATCATTCGCCTCGCATTATTCAGGCAGTAAAGACGTTCCTTTAAGTAGCGGTGCATTGAATTTATTTTACAGTTCATTCCAATGTGTAGGTGGAAATCCTGGTGATATGGGTACTCAAGGTTCTTGGGGTGATCGACAGTGTATATTCCATAATGTTTGTGTACAAGGAAACGAATCAAGTTCACTGTATATTGTTGATTATTTTTATCCAGCATCAATTTCATCATTAAGTTCAACAATAATTCGTGTAAATGATACATTTCTAGGTCTACGTCATGGTCTCCCTGGTGGTGATGATGCGCGTAAGATTCAAGTACGTTTAGTTCCTATGAACCATTCAGATCAAACCGATCCGAACAGAAATCTTCGATATTTGGATGAGACTTATTTAATGTACCAGATCTTGCCAGATAAAGATATGAATTTTGGTCATGTCATATTTGACGATGCTTTTGGTTTGTATGCGATTTTGAGACAATTTCGCGCTACTCGATATAACTCACCTAACAAAAATCATGTGCTAGTATTTCAATCTTGCGAAGACTTTAAAGGACATTTGAATGAACTATGCGTTAAATTCACTAAAGGAATTTTTCCAACCATTACATCCCATCCAGTTCGCTCAATCAATTCATTATTTGATTCATCAGTGAATTCTAATCGCATTTGCTTTCGAGAATTAGTTGCTGGACAAGGCGCTTCCGGTGCCATTGGCTGGGGTCCAAAAAATTTTAACCGTGCTCAAATTTTCTCTGACTTTCGCACAGATCTTCTTCTCACTCATCGAATTAATCCAAATATCATTCCCAAACAACATCATATCTTACTTGTTAATAAAAATGGCAGACGAAGATTTCACAATTTAGATGAAATCTACAACAAAATGTTATCTACTCCTCGATATGCCGGAATCAAGATTACCATTGCTGATGACTTTAAAAATTTAACCATTACTCAACAATTAGAATTATTTCAGACAGTAACAATTGCTATATCACCTTGTGGTGGTATCTCTTTGCTCTTCTTTTTCCTTCCTCGGCAATCGGTATTAATTGTCTCAGGTTATCCTTACATGGCCCGTATGGAAGCTCAGTTATGGGATTATCAAACTCATTTACGTGTCATTCATTATCCAATTCAATCTAATGATGAATTTGTACTACCACCACAATATAAAAAAGATGACGGAGTAGCTCTTCGCAATCATGCAGATGTAATTCTTCAAAGTGAAAAACTATTTGCTCTCATCGATAAAGCATTTATAACAACTGCAATGAGAAGTAGTTAATGACAATGAAAGTAAAGAGAATAATATTAGTCATGGCATTCATAATGATATTTTTTCTTTTCATATCTCATACATCGAGGAGCTGTTTTAAATAACCTTCACTTATAGTAAATAAAAAACAGAAGCTCACTTCTTAAATTTCTTTTAGTAATAAAAAATTCACTGTCAAAAGCATATCATAATTTTAAGGCAAACCTTTATTTGTCAACTCAATATCCTTTAAATATCAAATAAGTAGTAGTTAAAGTAAAAACTTACAAAAAAAAATACATTTATTTACAGGCAATGAACATTGATTTCGACTACTCTATTTCTCAAAGATTTATTCAACAATATATAATATACGATTGTCGAAAATCATTAGTTTGTTGGACGATTTTGTAATTGATTAGGAAAATATCTTCATATGTCATCATTATACAAAGACTAGATATTCATTACTGAAACGGATGTGTTAATAATATACATCTATTTCTGATTAGTCATAAGTAAAGAAAGATGTATCCTTACGTTTGTATTATTCATTTCAAGTAACGTCTATCTATTCGATACTGATATTTTCGTGACATAGGATTTGAAGTCAATTTCTTTGTTCTATCAGTTTTTGATGAAACAATTAAAACTTGAGTTTCAATCAGAAAGTTTTCCAAAGAGCATTTCGAGTTTTATAAAAAAATTTAAATTAATTTTTTTCTGTATCAATCATAAAATTCAGCTAAATAAGTATTAAATTCTAGAGGATGTGACGATGTGGATATAATAGTCAAGGTTTTTATCCATTCTCATTCTCACGTCTCACAATATGTATTTTTTTCTTTTCGATCGAATGAAAAATACACGTGTATCGTAGGTATAGTTTGTTTATCACATTTTCATACCTATTTTTACACTACACAATACTATTGAAAACTTTTTCATGCTTTTTCTGATTTTATTTCATCAAAAATATACAAAACAATAAAAAGATTTGAATATACAATTAACTAATGCAATGTTTAACTAATATAATGTTGACGAATAGATGCTGGAATACCCGTGATTGGTTGATAATGATATACATCTAATGGAGTAAAATCTACTTCACGTTCAACACCAATATGTCCATTCCATGGATTGACATACATTCCACTACCTTGTGTATAGATTCCATAACCATAATTACCAAAACCAATGGTTTGATAATCACCATTGAAATTGTTGAGAAGATTTGGTTGACCAATCATTTTTATTATTTGAATTGAAGAAAAGTATTGATTAGAAGAATAAGTTTGTTTGAATATATGAAACAATGAGAGAATATTGTGTGGTATTTATATTGTGGATACTGCAGAAGATTGACGTAATTATACTGTTTATTCTCGCTGATACACGTCATTATTGACGTAATATTATTATACAGTACAGTAAAAGATAAAAATAAACGTCGACCAGGTATTGATGTTTGACGTAAGAAGAGTATCCATGAGTTTATTCTTTGTCAAAAGCATGGTGTGGAAAATAAAAAAAGAATAACTATGCATTACGTAATTTACATTCAAGAATATTCTCGATTTACCTTTAATAGTGCATACTTTGTAGACATTTATTTTTATCTTTTATTGTACTGTATAATAATATTACGTCAATTTCCTACAGTATCTATAATATAAATACCACACAATATTCTCTCATTGTTTCATATATTCAAACAAACTTATTCTTCTAATCAATACTTTTTTGTTAAATTCAAATTATAAAAATGATTGGTCAACCAAATCTTCTCAACAACTTCAATGGTGATTATCAAACCATTGGTTTTGGTAATTATGGTTATGGAATCTATACACAAGGTAGTGGAATGTATGTCAATCCATGGAATGGACATATTGGTGTTGAACGTGAAGTAGATTTTACTCCATTAGATGTATATCATTATCAACCAATCACGGGTATTCCAGCATCTATTCGTCAACATTATATTAGTTAAACACTGCATTATTATTTGTACATTCAAATGTTTTATTGTTTTGTATATTTTTAAAGAAATAAAATCAGAAAAAGCATTAAAATAGGTTTTTTTCTTAATTAATTTCATAATTAATAAAATAAAAAAGAAATAAAATCTTTTTCGAATAGAAAAAAAACAAAAGTAATATAAAAATATGTTATATCATAATCCTAAATGATGAGAATATTTTCTCCAACAAAATTAGAAAAATTTCATTTGAAATTTCATATACAATTCACAACGAATGGAGAAACTCGTACGTATATTAGAGAACGAAATTAATTGAATTTCACATTTTGGTTTGTCCGACAATGGATATTGAAAGTCTGATAATATATTCTTTGTCATATGCAGAGAAGAAATACTATCTAATATCTAGAAGTCACCTTAAAAAAAATTTCTTTAGAAAAAGTTAAATAAATTGTATTTCTTGTATTTATACGTAGGACATCTATCGAGAAACTATTTATATAGCCAGATCGAACAGACGAAGGAAGAAAGAATAACGATCGATTTCGATATTCAGTCAGTCTTAAGAAAAACATTCAGTTAGTAGTATGTCGATAACAACAATCGAACATTTCTCGAATGAAATATTCTACGAAATTTTCGAATATTTTGATGCATATGTAATTTTTAATGGGTTCTCAAATCTTAACAATCGTTTTCAATTACTTCTCAATTCTTCATTAACACGATTAAAATTAGATGATGATCGTTTTCAACCAAAAGAACTTTTTCTTAATAATTACAAAAAAGTTCTTCGTTATCATCATCATCAAATAATATCAATTCATTCATACGGTGAAAATACAGCTAAAATAATTTCAATAATTAAATCTAATCTATCATTATTTCAATCTCTTCAATCACTTAATCTTTATCCCATTGAATCAAATATTTTATCATCACTTATTCATCAATTAGCTTCTTTACCTAATTTATATTCATTAACAATTGATCTATGGGCTAAAGAAAAAAATCATACTAACATTTATCAATTAATGTTTAATCTACCAAAATTAAAATATCTTAAATATGGATCATTTGATAGCTTAGATTTTAATATAGCTCTTTCATTACCAATCGCAACTGATCAACAAAAAACATCAATTGAATATTTTATTATGGATCATGGTTGTTCTATTAAAGATCTTTTTACTTTATTATCATATACACCGCAAATTCATTATTTAAAATTTTCAAATCCTATTGATATGAATAATTTAAATATTATCGAACCAATTAAATTAATCTATTTAACAAAACTTTCAATAGAAATTTATGAAATGACATTTGATGAATTTGAAATTCTTATTAAAAAAATGAAATTAAATTTAAAAATTTTATCATTAGATATTAAAGATGAAGATATGTCATATCTTAATGCTAAACGATGGGAATATTTTCTTCAAGAAAATTTATCAAAATTAGAAAAATTTTATTTTAAAAAAATGGTACATTTTTCGGAAAATTATACAACACCGATGTATTTAGGAGAACAAAATGAATTTAGTTCTACATTTTGGATTGAACGGAAATGGATATTTAAAGTTGAAAATGATTTTGAACATTTAATTTATTCAATTCAACCATATAAGTAAATTAGAAAATAAAAATCTCTATTTTTTTATTTTATTTACATTTATTTTAGGAAAAAATGGTATGAATATGGTTCTAAATCAAGCCAATTATCAAAATGTGTTGAATTTGAAATAGCTGATGTGTCACCTGGACACTGGGTAGAATCAATCAGTATTAAGGATCATATTTATCATGCATTGACTACTACACAAATCTATCATTTACAAATCTCAACAGCAATTTCTCTTGAAGAGTTATATAAAATTTTAGTTCTTTTACCAGATATTGAAACATTAACATTATCTCGATTATCATTTACTGATCCAACATCTATGAGTGATGAAGAACGTCAATCATTATATTTATTATTTCATGAAAATCATTTTCAAAAAATTTCTTTTAGTGATGTTGAACAAATGGCAGATATTTATTTTTTAATGATTATTTGTCCTCATGTTAATCATCTTCATGTTCATTGTAAAGATTATAAACATGCTGAATCATGTGTAGGACTTATATTATCTCATATTCGATCAAAAATAGATAATAAACTTCGATTATTATCAATTACTATGACAAAGTTTGCCAATGATATGATCGAATATTTAACCAAAATAATTAAAGAAAAGAAATTACTTAAGGATTTTATTATTGAACAAGTTAAAAAAGATGTTTATATAAAATGGACATGATTCTATTGTTTTATTAGGATTCTTCTTATTGTTATGTAGTAGATTTAATATTTGAATAAATTGTTTATTAGAATAGAAAAAAAATATTCATCATTACTAATAGATGTACCAGTTATATAGTTCAATTTATCATTATTCAGTACTTTTTATTGATGTTCGTAAATTACTACCAAGAATTGAAACAAGTATAATGATTAGATATTATATATCGATCAGCGCATGGTGAGTGTGGTCAAATGATTACTTAGCATCATCAACACCCACACTCTCAAGAATAGATTCTGACTATGAATATTATAATAAAGATACTGGATTTCATTGAAAAGAGGTCGATTGAGTAGAAATTTCAACAACGTTTACATCACGTTGGTTTCTATCTAAAGTATTTGAGTATCCTGAGCACTAATTACGATTCTTTTAGAAAAGAGTCAGTAAATCCAAAAGATGAGCGTTATTTGTTGATACTAATATGTTAATAAAATATCCAATACAAAACAATAAAGAGAAACCCTTATACTTGACTCTGTAAAAAACTTCGTCGCCCAATTTTGAGTAATTTGTTCATATATAAGGATAGTGAATTGAATATTATTTGTTGTTAAGCGAACATGAACAACTCGAACCGTAGTTCAAATATTTTTCACTATCCATAAACCTAAATAGATCATCAGCAGTGGAATAATTATTACTTTAATAATAAGTGAATAATAGCTCAGTACTGCAACATATAGAAATGTATCAAAAGATTCTATCTTGCTAGTGAAGATTCAAACTAAATGACTGGACAAAATGTTATAGTTGATAGAGGATTTTGATTATTTTAAAAAACTAACTTGTTGTTTCATAGAATATTCAGTTGATTTAATAAAATATTAGAGAGATAAAAGTGAAATTTTATGTAACGAAATATTCACATTCATTAACAGTTTTGGTTGCTTTTTTTTCTTTGATCGCACTGACAATCTCAATGGCTATAGGATGATCGCTATTCATCAATATAAAATACTCAATGCAACAGATGTAGTAACGATCGGTCAAAAGGTTAATGCACCCACATACATAGCATGTGTTAACCTTTACATACTTGACCGGTTCAATGATACACATAGGTCATGTCCTGAAAATCGTTGCGTCTCTATTCATATATAAAGCGAGAGTGTGTTGCTGCATTAGACTTATTCTTTTCTAAACATACTCACATTTATATTTATACAAATTCAAATTTGGATATAATGGCAATAGCCACATCTCATCATGGACAAAACCAATCAATTAATGGTAATCTACTATCAACATTATTATCAAATATCATTGAGAATTTTCTTGTTCTTTCTAGAAACGAATCGTAAACATCAACGTATTGAACGACAATTCACGAGTGATCAAATAGCTGCATTAGAAATTGACTTTTTTTATACTAAGTAACGGAGAAAATTTTTTTTTTTCGATTTATCTATCAATATATATATATATATATATATGTAGATATATGACACGTCGTGGACGTATTCAACTTGCTCGTAGATTAGGTTTAAATGAACGACAAGTTAAAGTAAGATAAGGAGTATTTTGTTTTATATGCTAATATATTAGTTTTGTTCATTTAGATTTGGTTTTCCAGTCGGTATGTATAAATTATCAGTTTTTGTCTCATTTCATTCAATTATACTTATGAATTTTTTTACTTTAGCCGAAAGAAATGGAAGAATGAATTCAGAATGGGCAATCATCCTCATGGGATATTTTAATGAAAATGCAATTAATTGATGTACATATATTCAATTATTAGTTGATAGTTGTAGAATATATACTATTTGATTGTGTTCCTTAGAAATTAATTGTTAATTAAATCACATTTATTCAAAATAAAATACGATTTATCTATCGTTAAATAACTATAGTATAATGTTCCTTTTTAATCTTTTGAAAATACTGATTAATATTCTAATCAATTCAAGAAATGTTGTGTAAGACATATGAATGGCAATAAAAGTGGTATAAAATAAACTATAAATTGCATAGTTTCTACTTTATTCATCATAAATGATGGTAAAAATATCATTTGAATAAATATTGTAATTATAACAGGGAATCAAAATGTCATATAGAATGATGAGATAATCCATAATTGAAAAATCGTTTTATGATAACGTCGTAAATGAACAATTTGTTGTTGAATTCTCTTTTGATAAATAACGCGAATAATTAAGAATAAATTGATAAAAAATATAATCATTATAGGTATAATAGAAGATTGAATATAAAATTTTTCTTCGTAATAATATGGGAAATCACAATTAAATAAATTGAAATCCTATTGAATTGTACATCTTGAGGGTATGGGTGTGGACGTAGTCAAAAGAGTATTTAACATCAACCACACCTACACCCACACCCAAAGTATGGGTATGGGTGAGGTTTCATAACAACTTTGTACCCTTTGCTACATATCACGCCCTAGATAAATGATAAATATTTCGTTTTTGCAAATGTTCAAGATTTACTTTTTATAAGGCATCTTTTTCTCATTTGTTTCTATCGCTATATGATTCGATAAAAAGGAAAAATGTCAGTTTTGAATCGCTCTTTTCTACTCAATCATTTTTCTTCTGAGTCACTCTATAGAATCATAATAATGACTCATAAATTAGTTATTGCACAATTTTTCTTTTTTTCTCTTCATTACCTTTAACTGACAAACCAAAGACGCATGTTTTGTGTTTTTTTTTCTTCATTTCAGTTTGTCAACATAATGGAGTCTTTACCCGATGAAATAATCTTACTTATTTTTCGTTATCTACATAATTTCGATATACTTTACTCATTTAACGATCTTAACGAACGTTTTCAACGTATAATCAAACCCTATTACATCGAGATTGATCTCACACAAGGAAAAATTTCCAAGAAAAATTTCCTATTATTTCTAAAACATATACTTCCATTACACAAACAAACAATCCGAACTCTTAAATTGAATAGCGAAGAATTACTTCAAAATATTTCTCCGCATGTTCATCATTTAACTAACTTAGAATCTCTCACAATAGAGTTCCATAGATCCAGTACATTCGAAGAACAAGATCAGTTAATCATTGCCGCTGCATGTCTTCCATCGTTGTCTAAGCTGTCCATATTTTTTACTAGAAAATATCAAAGTCTAAAGTCTATTTCTTTACTTGCATCATACAACTTAACAACACTGACTCTATTGACTCCAGGTGGTTTTCTTCATCTCCATGGTGTTTCTAAAATGCCTTATCTCAAACGTTTGTCAATCAATATACTATCAATTAGAATATTAAGAAAACTATTCTCAATGACGACAAATCTTGAAGAACTCCATTTATCAATCTTATCTTCTATTCGTTCAAGATTTTTGGGTCGGTTCAAAGTACCAGAAACATTAAATAAATTACACTTAGAATTTAGGCAGGATGATATACAAGAACATCAATCAAATTTCAATATTACGATGAAGTTTTTAAACATGTTTAAGGATAATCTCACATCACTCACGCTGATTGCTATTATAATAGAAAAAAACTTCTCAGACTATGAATCATTTCATAGATTAATAAGCAATTTTACTCACCTAGAAACTTTCGAATATTTTATTCGTACAAACCTTCCACCTAATTCGTTGTTTGCAAATATTCAAGAATTACCAAATTCTAACTATATCACTTTTACTCTTCCACAACCTCAACCGTTCGACTATACAATTTGTCGAACAACATTTGAACTTAAACTTGAATATGATTCACATATTACTTTACCGCAATTACTTTATTGTTCTACGCTCTGTCTCTACAGTAATTGCATTCCGAAAACTCTATCTAATGCGTTGGAATTAAATACCAACATTAAACTTTCATATTTGAAGGAAATATCGTTCGTTGTAAGCACGGGAACTGGTGATATACGTGAAATATGTCAATTTTTCTCCAAATTAATCCATCTTTTACCTAATTTACATACTATTGCAATTAATAATAACTTCAATAACACGATTGGAATCATTGAACAACTGAAGGAACTTGTCTCTATGAGATATTTGAAGCAGATCAGACATTTTCGGCTCGAAAATTATTATTCTCAAAGCTCATTTCTTCATGATTTATCGAAAATTTTTCCAAATTTGATTACACTTAGGCTTCCAAAGGAGGTATTATTTTTCCACGAAAAGACAACAACATTAATTAACTTCGTTGAAATTGCAAGCACATATTTTCCTCGACTCATTCGTTTGACGTTTTATGAAGATATACTAAATTCTAAACGACTTGTATTTGCAAGTCATGCAAAAAATCTTAATGAACAACAACAAATAGAACATCCATGGCATTGTACAATTGGAAAAGAATCTAATAACAAATGTTATTATTTGAGTATATGGTTGTAGTTAAAAAGATATTAACAACATGCACTAACAAAAATATGTAAGATTCATGAATCGAAAGACAGTTTATTTGGATTATTTTCTTCTTTCATCCACACACTGTAGAGTTAAGCTTGATTGATTTGAATATTCAAATAATAATTTTATTAAGTTGAATACAAAAAGAATCCTACAAACATGAAAATTAAGAAAAAATATTAGTGTCTAAAATCTTGAGGATGAGGATGTGGGTGTGGGTAAAAAAGACAAGACACACAGCCACACCCACACTCCTGAGAAAACATGCATGCAATCAAAAAAGTCATTTTAAACGCAGAAAAATTTATTTATGTGAAATCTTGATCAAATTGTTCTTGTTACAGTCAATAATTAATTTTGAATATATCATTATTTACTTTCTAATGGTAGTTGATTACCATCTCTCCAAAATTGTCCATTTTCCAAATTTTCAGTATACACAGCATGTAAAATAGAATCAGCACCTAGTTCAGCTGATCGTCCGCCTTGTGCATTACCATTTATATCAGTTGCACAAAATCCTGGACAAACTGCACTAATAATGACATTTTTAGCTGAATATTTTTTTTCCCAGTCACGAGCTTCTATACGTGTTAGAGTATTAACGCCTAATTTTGATGTACCATAGTATAATAGAAAGTAATGAATGGAACCAGGCAGTTTAACAGGATTAAAACCAACTGTTGCTGGATCTTTTCCTTCTTCAACTGCTTTGAATAATCTTAAAATGAAAATAAAAAAAAATAATGAAATGAAATAAATGTTTTATTTTCATAAACTTACCCTGCAAACAATTGTTCTAATTGACTATCTGTTAGATTTGGATCCAGAAATTTTGTTTTAAGATCTTGTGAACATTCTTTCATTGTCATCGCTGCTATACCACTACTTACATTAACAATACGTCCATTATCTCTTAATATTGGTGACATTGTATCATTCATGTATTTAACTCCATAAAAATTTGTATCGAATGTATCTTTCAATGCTTTCAAACTGGGATCATTATTAGCTATACCAGCATTGTTGATTAATACATCTAGATGACCACCATATTTATTTTGAAGTTCTTCTTTTGCTTGTTCAATACTTTTTTTTGATGATGTATCAAGTACAAGAACTTTTACATTTGAAGGTGAACCAAGTTGAACTAGAGCTTCTTCACCACGTTTTTGATCACGACTACCAAGTAAAATTAAATCATTTGGATGATTTGTAGAAAGTTTTTTCACAACTTCATATCCAATACCTTTGTTAGCACCAGTAACTACAAAAACTCGTTGATGCGATTGTTGTTTAGACGACATTTGTGTTTAGGTTTTTTTCTTGTTTTCAGTGGTAAAATAAACGTTACGTGAATCAAATGAAGAAAGAACGAGAAAAATGGGTTATATTTATATAGTACACACTATTTTTTTTGCCTTGTCATCATTTTTCTTTTCTGTTCTCTACAATTTTCTGCCTAGTCATCAAACGCAAAATGAATGCGCACGTTCTTATTCATTATATTTTCAGAATATATGCGCAAGTTCTTATGAAAAAAATCGTTTTATTAATGGTAGAAACCAAGAAAACTTATTTTGATGTTCCGATGTTTTGATATTATGATTTTGTCGATCGATCCAAATTCGAATGGCAAATAATCTTGGATCTCTAATGATTGAATGTGACGATGATAAATGATTTTTCAACCATTGAACAAATTCATCTCCTCCAGGTGTTACACTTCGAAAAAATTCATTATCATCTTCGGATTTAAAAACTAATAATCGAAGATTAGACATCTTTTGAATAAGATTAAGAATATCAATGCGGTTTTCAAAACAGATCGAAAGAACTTCACATTGAATTCCTAGCGGTGAATGAATTAAATTATAACAATCTTCATTAGAAAAATTGTTTGAACGAGTCGATGGTGTATATGGAAATTCAAGTCGACGAATTGATTTACTTGATAATTGAAACAGTTCATAACGAGATTTTTGAGCAGGACAAAATCTTAGCGAATAAAGAAAAGATGCTTGATTGATTAACATTTGTAGTTGATCATAATTAGGATTGGTATCGACGTGGATATGAAGTGATGTTAGACGATGGAATGATGGAAAAAGTAATGAAAAATATTCATTCAATGGAAAATTGATTTCAGCATGACGAATATTAGGAAAATGAGAGACAGGAACTGTATGAGTATCGACTGAAGTTTTTCTATTGTTGTTTAGAGTTATCATATCTACACTATCATATGTCCAATAATCTTTTTCATTAAGACAGGTTGATTTCGAATAAAATCCATTTGAATATGAATATTCATTAAATGCATATGGTAATGTATAGATAATAGTTGATCGAAGTGTATCTGATGGATCCCAATGGCATCGAACAAACCATCGATATTCTTCGAGCCAAAATGTCGTTTGAAATGTCATTAAAAGTTTATCAACATTCTCTACCATACTATCACTATTCTGTTCAAATTGAAATTTCATTTTTAATCGAAACATTTTGATTTTTGGTAAATAATTGTTAATAATATGTTCCCATGCATGTCCATCTAAATACATTTGAGATATATCAATTGTTAAATGACATAGATTCGGCATTGTCTGAAAAATACTTTTTAATAAATCGGCCGATCCTCGAAAATCAAGTTTTAATGATTTCATTGAAGGAATAACACAATCTAGACATTCATCTGACTTGGAACATCGAACAACTGTAGAAAGTTTTTTGAGATAAGGTGTACATTTTAAAAGATGCGATAATGAACTTAATTCACATTGACTTTTTTCAATAGAAAGATATTTAATCGAGGTCGATACTGATGTAATTCTGCATACCCATTGTTCACTTCTTTGAATACCATTTAAATTGCAATGAGTAAGTGTTGGTATACTCCAAATATTATTTATTGATTCAACGAGAATATATTCTCGTAATTCAAAGACAGGACATTTTATTATATTGAGATGAATGAGATGAGGAAGATAACGACATTGATATATTATTCCATTGAATTGATGTAGAAAGCGAATGTTGTAAAGTGAAAGTGAGCGTAAATTAATAAATCGATCAAGAGTAAAACCACGAGAAAAAAGTAGTTCAGGTAAATCAGATGTTTCTTTATTCGAAAGATAAAGTGAATGAACTTGATCAATAGTAGATGGAAGATATTGTTGACAAATAAGATCAAAATTATCTTTAGATATTGAATGAAAATTTAACTGATGATCACGAAAATGTGTGTACAAAAGCTGATTGAATCGATCGTTGAATCCAAAGAAAGCTTGAAGAAGATGATGAGTATTCAAATATTCAAATAATTCAAGTAATAGTTCATTAGATAATAATTCAAGTTGAATCATATTTTAGTATAGACAAAATGTACACATCGAATGACGGTAGTCATAATAATAGAATAGGCAATTTCAATTGGTGCATATAGTCAATCAGTAAGCATACAAGAAATCAGATGGCGTAATTACACGAAACACATCTTACTATTTTGAAGTTTATTTTTATAAGCAAAAAAAGGTCATTAGATCTATAAATTCAAGATGTATACTCTTCAAACAGTTTTATTAAATTATTTTATTGAATAAAAATTATAGTTAATGTTATAAAGTAGAGAGAGTCGATAAACTTAGCACTATTACTGCACATGAACATTTGAATTCGATCGTTTTCATTATCTAAAACATACAGATTGCCTTTACTATCCAATGCTATACCATGTGGAGAAGATAATTGATGAGCCGCATTGCCCTTACCATTATTTCCAGCAATCACGAAGCCAGCATTTGGAGCATCAGCTGAAATACGCATGACACGATTGTTATTTTTATTAGCAACATAGATAGTGTTCGTTCGACGATCGAGGAAAAAAGCTTCTGGAAAAGATAGTTGATCTGTTCGATTTCCCGCCCCATGGCCACCTCCAACCACGACACCTACTTTTGCCCCCTCGGACCATACGACAATATGACTGTTTCGAGTGTCTGCGATGTATAAGTTTCGATTGCTATCGATTACTATATGCGTGGCTGAAAAAAAAGTACGATGAAGTAACATATATATTTTGTTATTTGACAACAGAATGGCAACAGTACGAGTGAAAAACTAAGAAAATCATTCCAATTATTTTAAACTTCTTATCATCTTTTTTAGTGGCATGATTCTCATATGAGAATATACATGAGTTTTATTTCATCACAAGGGTGTGGCAGTAGCTGGGTACTGATATAGACTGTAATAAAGGTTTACACTCACACCCACACCCACCCTCAAGATGGTATTTTGACATCTTGTTTCACCGTTAGAAAAAAGAGTCTTTGATGATAGAATGTTCTCTTTCATTCTTTCGTTGACAAAACTCTACAAAAAAAAAGATTGAAGCTTTGGTTTTATCTCATCAAAATTATTCATCCTTGGATTATATGAAAGAATTTTTATAACATACGCATTCATTCTTTGATGACTCATTTTTTGTTACTGTAAACAAACCTTGAAGATGTAGATAAAATATGAATAAAAAAAACTTTTTATTACAAAGATGATTAGTTTTTTATTATTACTAATAGTTTCATATACAATAAAAAGTGTGGAAAAATATTATTCTTAAAATTTTTATTCTTATCTCTTTAAATAGATTTAGATTAGAGAGTTGAATAAGAATTGTAACTAAAGTTATATTATCGTCTGTTCAATCGTTGCTATTTCATATGGTGGTGGTGGCGGTTCTGATGGACATTGGAATAGAGAATTAGTAATTGCAGCTTCATAAGGTGGTGGTGGTGCTTCAGGTCTATCAGAATTTGGTGAAAATGGAGTTGAAGTATTGGAATTATAATTAGATTGAACATCAAAAAGTACTGTTGATTCTCCTCTAGATTGTTGTCCATTTGGATATACTACTCTTTGACTCCTCCTAATAACAGTAGAAAACCGTGGATGTCGTTTAATGAAAATACAACAAGCAACAGGCAGACAAAAACATAGGAGAAATGTCCCACCAATGGTACATGTAGGAACAAGTATGGCCGGTAAATCTAATAAAAATCATGTTACATTTTAACATTGTGAAATTAGTTTCATCCGATTCTTCAAACTACAACATCATTCAAAAAATTCGACTTATTCTACG